TTGTTTACCCATATCTTCAGAAAAAAAAATCACTTCTACTGTCGTGGTAAACCTGCTTCCCTATTTATAATGGTCTGGCCCTCTAGCAACTTCAGCGCGAAATTATAGCTAATTTGCCTACAAATGTCAGGTGGTCATAATAATCTGGACACTCAGTGTGTATATATACATACACACACACACATATAGATATATATTTAGAGAGAGAACTATGGTAAATTATTAACAATGGGTGAATTTCAATTGTTCATAGGAGATTGTTTTAGTTGCCTTGCAACTTTTCTGTAGGTCTGAGATTGTTTCAAAAAGTTTAAATAGGCAACGTTATTGAAGTAATGAAACTTAAGAACATACGGAGAAATGACCCAATCAGCCAAATTAATCCTTTTAAAGATCCTTTTTTTTTTGCACTAAGTAATAGTGATGTAAAGTGCATTGCTACTGAAAGAAAGAGAGAGAGATCACAAAAGAAAGAAAAAGAGAGAGGGAGTGAGGGAGGGAGGCAGGAAGGTGTGTTAGGCTATACAGACAGTCCTCGGGCTACGTCGGACTCCACATACGTCGTTTTGTGGTTACATCGCCATCTCCCATTAAAAAAAAAAAAGTTCCATCATTTCGACGTATGTACATATGTGCTTTATGTTTTTTATTATTTATTTACCACAAGTAAAGGTCAGGAATTGTTATCTTTTAATTTTTTTTTACTGTTTCACTTCATTACTGTTGTGTATGTGCTCCATGTGAGTGCCGTGGGTGCTTATGTAGGTGGGTTCCGACTTACAGCGAAAACGTTGCACCATAGGAACCACAGAAACCATAGGAACGGATCTCCGACGTAACCTGAGGACCTACTGTATCCTTCTGTGAATGGCCAATATTTAGCTGTAAAGCCAGATTTTCATAATTATCTTACCTTAATCCACACTGTTTCATTAATAAAGCTGAATGGTATGGATGGATTATCTGGTGTCTGCTTGTTTAGAATACTGAAATTAATGGACTCTTTGGCAATTCGGGGTGGAGTCCCAGTCTTCAATCTTCCCACCACAAACCCCAACTTCTCTAGAGTCTGAGCCAACCCAATGGAAGGCTGGTCTCCTAAACGTCCTGCCGGATGCATCTCCAATCCAATTACAATCATGCCTCTCAGAAATGTCCCAGCAGTCAGAATCACGCTGTCTGCATATACTTTGCTTCCATCCACTAAAGGACAGGAAAGACAGTAAAAATCATGTTCTAATTGTACTATGGATCAAACTGAAATGTGACTACTTTATATTAGAACTACAGAAAAACTTTCTCTTTAGAAACTTGAGAAATAATTTCAAATGAGTAAGAAGGCTACATCTTATCAATCTCTAGAATCCAAGAAAGTTGGGAGGGAGAACATAATGTACTATCATCTATTCCTATGTTCCTAAAATTATACCAGCACTGAAAAAGATTAAATCAATTGATTTTAAAAATTAATTAATGTAAGACTTCTGGTTACCAGTAAATCTGATAGACTACCTCCTATAATTCCTTCTTCCTCCTGAAACTTCAAGAAAATGAAATAAAGGGGCAAAAAGGGTATAAAACCACAAGGACAATGAATGGGAGAGAGCTTGCCAAAAGATGAGACATTTCAAAATATTTTTAGAAGACAAAGTGGTTGGAAAAGTGATTAATGATCTAGCAAATGGGAGAAGACTATAAATCAAGAATCTGAAGAGAATACACCAATGGGGATGAACTAATTAGCCCTACAAAGCCCAGAAATGGGAAACTGAGGAATGTAGGAATGAAGCTTGGGGCTGAAATTAAGAGAAATAGTTGAAATCTACACATAAAGGTTATATCTGCAGACAATTCCTTACAGGAAAATTTAGGTTTATTTTTTGGGTACTGGGGAGTTACTGTTTAATGGAAACAGTTTCAATTTAGGATGATGAGAAAGTTCAGAAAGTTCGGGAAATGGATAGTGGTGACAGTTGTACAATATTGTGGATGGACTTAACGGCACTGAATTGTACACTTAAAAATGGCTAAAATGGCCCTAGCCGGTTTGGTTCAGTGGATAGAGCGTCAGCCTGTGGACTCAAGGGCCTCAGGTTCGATTCCGGTCAAGGGCATGTACCTTGGTTGCGGGCACATCCCCAGTCGGAGGTGTGCAGGAGGCAGCTGATGGATGTTTCTCTCATTGATGTTTCTAACTCTCTATCCCTCTCCCTTCCTCTCTGTAAAAAATCAATAAAATATATAAAATTAAAAAAATAATAAATAAATAAAATAAAAATGGCTAAAATGCCCAGCTGGAGTGAATCAATTGGTTGAGCACTGTCCTGTGCATCGAAAGGTTCCTGGTTCAATTCCTGGACAGGGCACATACCTAGGTTGTGGGTTCAATCCCTGGTTGGGGCACATATGGGAGGCAACCAATTAATATTTCTCTCTCATATTGATGTCTTTCTCCACCTCACCACCCCCACTTTCCTCTCTTTAAGCATGTCCTTAGGTGAGGATTTTTTTTAAAAAGGCAGGCCCGGCCAGTGTGGCTCAGTGGTTGATTGTCAACCCAGGAACCAATAGGTTGCAGGCTTGATCCCCAGGAGGGGGATGTGCAAGAGGCAGACAATCAATGATGTTCCTCTCTCATCGATGTTTCTATCTCTCTATCCCACTCCCTTCCTCTCTCTCTAACAATCAATAAAAACATATATATTTTTTTAAAAGGCAAATTTTATGTTATGTTTACTTCCCCATTTTGCTGAACTATATCTCCCAGTAGCTTCCTAAGAAAAGATGCATGGGAAATAGGTTGTGTGAGTCCTTGTATATCTATAAATGTATTAGTCTCCCCTTAGACTTGACTCTTAATTTGGCCGAGAATAGAATTCTAGTTTAAATCTTTTTTTCCCCTGAGAATTTTGACAGTCTTGCTCCATTTTCTAGCTTCCAGTTTTGCTGTGAAGAAGATCAGTGCATATTTACTTAAATTTTTTTGTATATGACATTCTCCCCGGTTTCTGAAAGCTTCTAGGATCTTATATGTGTCTCTGGTGTTCTGAAATTTTAAAATGATGTCCTCAGTGTGGTCTTGGTTCATTCATTATGTACTAAGTGTTCTCCTAAAACTAGAAATCTGTGTTACAGATTACAAAAAAAGTTATATTATTAAGCCTATAAAGTAGACAGGGTAAAACATAGCATTTAAAGATATGAAATTAAGTAATAAAAACATAAATAAAGGTATAAGGTCTATACTAATAAAAACAATATAATCATTAAATTTGAAGAGGATAGGAGGCAGAAGACAGAAAAGGAAAATAAAATAAAATTAACTATTCATAGTGGAAAGTCAACAAACACTGACAGAAGAAAAAGATTTAGTATGTAAAATCATAATTAAAATAATCACCAGAACAAAAATACAAGCTTCTAAAAAAGAAACATAGTTCCTAGATACAAAGCAAACACAGACTAAGTGTTTAAAAGAAAGTACAGAACCGTGTATATAATATGCTGTTATGTGAAACACACACACTCACACGAAGATACATGTATATTCAGATAGAAAGACACTAGGAATGTTCCTAAAGAAGAAAACTGATTGGTTGGGGGACAGATGAGAGAGAGACCACCTTTTCACGCTATGTTCTTTTGTCCCCTTTAAACTGTTTACTATATATATGTATTCCCCATTTTAAAAAATTAATAAATCTATGATTTTATAATAGGAAAATTAAGTCAAGATTTGTATTTTAAATATATTTTTATGGATTTCAGAGAGGAAGGGAGAGGGAGAGAGAGAGAGAAACATCAATGATGAAAGAGAATCATTGATCAATGCCTCCTGCATGCCCCCTACTGGGAACTGAGCCCGAAACTGGGCATGTGCCCTGACCGGGTATTGGCACTGTGACCTCCTGGTTCATAGTCTAATGCTCAACCACTGAGCAACACCAGCCAGTCTCAAGATCTGTATTGTAAATGTTGAGATTCTCCAGCACAGCTCCTCTCATCATTTTTTAAACAATATATTTTTATTGATTTCAGAGAAGGGAGAGGGAGAGATAGAAACATCAATGATGAGAGAGAATCATTGATCAGCTGCCTCCTGCACACCCTCAACTAGGAATCGAGCCTGCAACCCAGGCATGTGCCCTTGACCGGAATCGAACCCGAGACCCTTCAGTCGGCAGGCCGAGGCTCTATCCACTGAGCCAAACTGGCCAGAGCTCATCATTTTTTAAAATTGATTTTTAGAGAGAGAGGAAGGGAGAAGGAGAGGGGGGAGAGAGAGAGAGAAAGAGAGAGAGAGAGAGAGAGAGAGAGAGAGAGAGAGAGAAACATCAATGTGAGAGCAAAACATCAATTGGCTGCCTCCTGTATGCTCCCTGGGACCCGCAACCAAGGCATGTGCCCTGACTGGGAATCGAACTGGCAACCTTTTGGTGTACATAAATGAAAACATAAATTTAAAAAATTAATTACAAAGATTCAGAAAATAAAGTTAAGGAAATCTCCTAAGAAAGTACAACAAAATGACAAAATGTACAAATAGAAAAAAACCTAGAAGACCAATCCAGGAAAGGATAGGAGTTACCAGAGAACATGGAGAAATAATAGAAGAAAATACCTCAGATATCAAGGACACAGATTTCTAGTTTCAGGAGAACACCTAGTACATAATGAATGAACCAAGACCACACTGAGGACATCATTTTAAAATTTCAGAACACCAGAGACACATACAAAATCCTAGAAGCTTTTAGAAGGGGGGGGGGGGTCTATATACAAAAAAATTTAAGTAAATATGCACTGATCTTCACAGCAAAACTGGAAGCTAGAAAATGGAGCAAGACTCAAAATTCTCAGGGAAAAAAAGATTTAAACTAGAATTCTATTCTCGGCCAAATTAAGAGTCAAGTCTAAGGGGAGACTAATACATTTATAGATATACAAGGACTCACACAACCTATTTCCCAAGCATCTTTTCTTAGGAAGCTACTGGAAGATATAGTCCAGCAAAATGGGGAAGTAAAAAGGAGACAGACTGAAGTTCCAGGAAATAAGGGATGATGTAACACAGCAGAGTAGTAAAAGGAAGTCTCAAAAGGACGTCTGTGGCCCTAGCCAGTTAGGATAGAGCATCGCCCTGTGGACTTAAGGGTTCCGGATTCGATTCTGGTCAAGGGCACATGCTGGAGTTGCGGGCGAGATCCCCAGTAGGGGGTGTGCAGATAAGGAGACAGACTGAAGTTCCAGGAAATAAGGGATGATGTAACACAGCAGAGTAGTAAAAGGAAGTCTCAAAAGGACGTCTGTGGCCCTAGCCAGTTAGGATAGAGCATCGCCCTGTGGACTTAAGGGTTCCGGATTCGATTCTGGTCAAGGGCACATGCTGGAGTTGCGGGCTCGATCCCCAGTAGGGGGTGTGCAGACGGTAGCTGATAATGATTCTCTCTCATCATTGATGTTTCTATCTCTCTCCCTCTCTCTTCTTCTCTGAAATCAATAAAAATACATTAAAAAGAAAAAAAGCACATCTGTGGCCCTGGCTGATGTGGCTCAGCAGCTAGGGCATTGGCCCTGCATGGAAGGGTCTCGGGTCTGATTCCCAGTCAGGGGCATGTGCCTGGGTCCCTGCCCCCTCCACTCTAAAAATCAATGGAAGAAACATCCTTGGGTGAGGATTAACAACAACAAAAATGACATCTGTGCAGAAGGCCTAGAGAGCAATTGTCCAGACTATAGCAGTAAATTGTGGGGGATTCAGAAGTTGATATTTCTGGAAGGGAAGCATTACAGAAAACTACAGAATTGATAAATTATTTGAGCACTGAGTGTTTTTAAAAAAATATATATTTTATTGACTTTTTACAGAAAGAAAGGGAGAGGGATAAAGAGTTAGAAACATCGATGAGAGAGAAACATCGATCAGCTGATTCCTGCACACCCCCTACTGGGGATGTTCCCATAACCAAAGTACATGCCCATGACTGGAATCGAATCTGGGACCCCTCAGTCCGCAGGCTGACGCTCTATCCACTGAGCCAAACTGGTCAGGGCATGAGTTTTTTTCTGATGAAAAAGTTGAACTGGTCAGGTACACAGGTAAAATAAGTAAATAAAAAATAAAGCAATTATTAACCCAAGGCAAAAAAAAAAAGATGTATATAAAAGAAAACAAACATAATACACTACTTGAATCTGTAGTGAACAATATTCAAATAATCATAATAATATAAATATTATCAACCAAAATTTATGGTATAATTATATTGGAAGGACAGAAGGAAGGAAAGCAGGGGATAAAAGAGAGCTACCATATCCCTAGCCAATTTGGCTCAGTGGATAGAGTGTTGGCCTGCGGACTGAAGGGTCCCAGGTTCGAATCCGGTCAAGGGCACATACCAGGGTTGTGGGTTTGATCCCCAGTAGGGGGTATGCAGGAGGCAGCCGATCAATGATTCTCTCTCATCACTGATGTTTCTATCTCTCTCTCCCTCTTTGAAATGAATAAAAATATATTAAAAAATAAAAAAATAAAGAGAGTTACCATAAAAAAGTTAATAGATAATGTCTAAGATTGATAACTTAGGGGGTAAAAATATAAGCTTATTGTTGAGAAATATGTTAAGTATAGATCAGAAGTGATAGTTAAAAAAACTGAACTATTAGGTTTATAGAGGGGATACAGAAAACAAACATGTATCTATACACATTTTTCTAAGTACATTCTTTTAAAAAAATATATTTTATTAATTTTTTACAGAGAGGAAGGGAGATGAATAGAAAGTTAGAAACAATGAAAAGAGAGAAACATCGATGAGCTGCCTCCTGCACACATCCTACTGGGGATGGGCCCGCAACCAAGGCACATGCCCTTGAACGGAATCGAACCCGGGACCTTTCAGTCCACAGGTCAATGCTCTATCCACTGAGCCAAACCGGTTAGGGCTATACACATTTTAAAATTCTACTTGATTTTTATAAAAGTTAGGTGCATGTGCTATTTTGACTAAAAAATTAATACATAATCCTTTTTAATATAAAACATATAATAATCTTATAAATATAAGCTTTAAAGATTTAAGGTCAGAACTAGGAAAAATAAAAAGTACAACAGAAAAACCAAGAGAAAAAAGACACAATTATTCAGGCTAAAGTCCTACACATGGTACAGATGAGCCCATAATTTGACTAAGCTTCACAAATGCCAAAATGAAAGAATTATGATCTTTTTATACAGTTTTCCTCATTCATAAAGAGAAAACACAACAATTTCCTAGAATAAGTAAAACATCCCCATACTCTGCTCTGAAATAAATTGCTTACACGGAGCCTGATTCTGTTATTATCATCTATAACTAGTACATACCCAAAACAACACCACTGACACGGCATTTCCCAGTGTGCTCAGGTTCTGGTTCTGTAAGTATAAGATCTTCTACAGCTCCCTCCTGAACCGTAAGCAGTGGTGTATTTAGGATTTCTTTCTGTCAAAAGAGAGTGCAAATTGAAACAACAGTTAAGTGATCACTACAATCTTTCCTGTTTTTGTGCCTTATTCTCACCTGCATGTTCTGTTTGTAGAGTTTCCTATCAATTTGAGCTCTCAGACCCCAAACAGCTGGTCCCTTACGCCGGTTTAATACTTTGTAATGTACACCAGACTGGTCACAGATTCGGGAACACAGGCCATCTAAAGCATCCACTTCCCTCATTAAATGCCCCTTTCCGATACCACCAAAGGAAGGATTACAGGACATCTGACCTAAAGAAAATAGACAAAATAAATATATGAGCACTTTGCAATAGTGAGTGCAATAGAAAATTGTTTGTACAAGTGGCTAGAATCAGCTCATGTGATAAAAAAATAAGAGACTTGAAACAAACACTAAAAAGAAAATTCCAAAGTCCCAATAGGGTATAATTCAGGGCATTCTGGAAGACAAACTCTTGCCTGTAGTTTCCTTTCAATCTTTTCCTTGATGCATATTTTATTTCATTAGGTTGCCTTTTCCTTTAAAATGTGGTTTTTGAAATCTTTACCTCATGAAACCTTTCCAAATCAAGAATACTTTAGAAGTACCTTGGCACTGGTTCACTGTTATAATCAATTATATCTTCTATAAATGCCATCTGTTTTCTTTTTTGCTTATTTTGCAGAAATAATTAAGTTATAAGTTTCTTCAAAGTAAAAACCATATTTTATATCTTTTCTTTAAAATTCTCTAGTCTTATTTGGAGGTCTGGATACTGCTACTCATCAAAATGACTTACCTTTATTTTTTAATTGATTTGAGAGAGGAAAGGAGCGAGAGAGAGCGAGAGAGAGAGAGACATCAATTTGTTGTTCCACTTATTTATGCACTCATTGGTTGATTCTTGTATGTGCCCTGACTGGGGATCAAACACAACCTTGGTGTATCGGGGAAGATGCTCTAACCAACTGAGCAACTGGGCCAGGGATAATGATGTAGCTTTTAATATCCATTATATATCAGTTAATTTTACAAAAATTTCTGAATCCTACTAATTTCTGACATGTTCTCAAACTTTGATCTCCAGAAATGAGTCTCCTCATACACAGAAGGGGGAAAAAACAGAACACCTAAAATACCAGAAATTATTGAAATTCCTCTACTTTCTTTTTTTTAAAAAAATATATTTTTATTGATTTCAGAGAAGAAGGAAGAGGTAAAGAGAGACAGAAACATCAGTGATGAGAGAGAATCATTGATCGGCTGCCTCCTGCATGTCCCGCACTAGGGATCAAGCCTGCAACCCAGGCATATGTCCTGATTGGGAATCGAACCGTGACTTCCAGTTTCATAGGTTGACGTGCAACCACTGAGCCACGCTGGCTTGGCTCCACTTTCTTATATCCTTAAACTAGAGAACTTCTAGGCACTTTATTAAATTAGTGTAACTATATTATAAACCTATTTATAAAATTTACGTTTGTGAAAGTCAAATGCAAAGAAATCCTCATCTTTTTAAATTGCTGAAAACTTTTTCTCAAAGAAATGTATGCCTATAAAGAGCTTCTCTCCTTATAGGCATAGTTGAACATGTCACTCTCTTTTGCTTAGTCCTCCAAATTTTTCTCAACAGAGAACTCCAGGAAGCCAGCATTCATTCCCAATCATTTGGAGTTGGAATAAGATCTACTAAATCATCTGTGCTCTTAAATAGAGGCTACTAACATCCCAAGTGTGGCACCAGTACCTGGGGTGGGCAGTGGTAGTAGAAATGTATAAATCAGTAAATTTTTCACTCTACTAAAAAATTTAAGTCAGCTATGTAGAAAAGCTCATGGTAAAACAGTTAACAACTGACCACTTAATATGGGCCAGCCATTATCCCAGGTGAGTTGCATGTATTTTTCTAACTTAAACTTTCTGACTTAAACCTGATGAAGTTGATACTATTACTTCTATTTCATGGAGAAAGAAAGTGACAGCTTAGATAAACTGTCCCTTGCCAAGGTCACCCAGATAATACACAGCAGAGCCTAGAATAAAATTCAGAAAGTCTAACCGCCTCTTAATGGACAATATTCTCCATGAAATGCATAAATGATACAACATAGACTAGACAGGCTCAGAAGGCTAGTCTCTTTTATGGTGAAAGGCAAAATATAACTTTGCCAAAAAACTTTATTTTCCAGGTGAGTGTGAAAATAGAAGACTTTCTTTCCACCTCTGACTTCACCATTGGCAAATGGTATGACTGAATCAGAGCAGGACAAATCTTGCAGTTCAACCTACTAAGCCAAAGCTATCTTTATGAGGTCACGCAGAAATATCTAATACTCCACTATATCGAATTACCTTAGGAAATAAAACCTTGATTTTAAGATAGAATTGTTATTCACTAAGGTCACCTGTAAGAGTTATTAAAGTATCTCTGAAATATATTTACTTTAAAACTTATATTTTGTTGAGAATAATAATGAGTTTTGATAGGAATTCCTTTATCCCTGACAGAACTACATAATATACTATATAATGATCACTTTAGTTCAATAATACTTTTTTGTTCATTAGATTTTTGTTGCTATTATTATTGAAAGGTAGTACTATAAGCAATGAGTAATTTTTTGGGGAAATCATATCGTTCCTCTCCAAACGAATCACAGTTAAACAGTGTATATTTCTCCACAGTTATGACCTGGATGGCAATTTTAAAAACGTATTTCAGTATACAAATATGTGATTTATTCACAACTTTTACAAAACACAGTTAATATTTTAATTGATCTTCACTCTTAAGTAAAATTCAGGAGGAAAGACATAGGCATGCATCATTTACCAGACACTGTTTTGGCTAGCATCTAGCATGATGCAAGAGAGCGATCTAGCGCCCTACCTGGTTTGGCTCCGTGGATAGAGCATCAGCCTGCGGACTGAAGAGTCCCAGGTTCAATTCTGGTCAAGGGCACATGCCTGGGTCCGGGCCTTGATCCCCAGTAGGGGGCGTGCAGGAGGCAGCCAGTCCATGATTCTCTCTCATCACTGTTTCTATCTCTCTTTCCCTCTCCCTTCCTCTCTAAAATCAATATACTTGAGAGAGAGATAGATAGATAGATAGATAGATATCTAGGTCCTAGCGGATTTGGCCCCGTGGATAGAGCATTGGCCGGTGGCCTGAAAGGTCCTGGTTCCATGCCGGCCAAGGGCATGTACCTCAGTTGAAGGCTCTGAGGCTCTATCCCCGGCCCTGGTCGGGGCAGGCGTGGGAGGGAACCAATCACAAAACTGGGGAACAAACATCCAGCAGAAATGTAGAATGCAACTAAAGGTAAACGATGACTAATAATGCTAACTCACTCTTTACCCAAAGCAACCAGCGAGTCAAGGTTAACCGGCAGCAATGCAATCAGAAGCTATCAGCAAGCACCGTATTCTTAGTCTCCCCCTTTCCCGAGGCACCGCCCCCACATCTTCCTAAGCAACCGCGTTTGTCCGCAGCAGCACAGTCCGTGGTCCCCGGCACAGCTGACCCGGAGTGCCGACCCGGCCCGCCTGTTCCGCGAGGCACAAATCAGGCTAAAACCTCCGACCCCAGGATCCTCGCCAGCCTTGCGGGAGGGAACAGGCTGCCCACACCAGGCACGGGAGGGGGGAGAAGGGGACTGATTGTTCGCGACGTGCGTCCTACGCAAAGCGCCACAGCGGCCGGGCCCCTCACCGATCGTGTCCACGCGGTGCGTGAGGAGCAGCGTTCG